ATTTCTTCATATTGCATTGTGTATTATATACATTTGTCGATATCCCATTATATGGTTTTACATTTCCTCTTCAAGTGTCAAATAATCTTTTGTTACGAGCATGTGTTACTAGGCAGAGATAGTTCCTTTAATCAAACATTCTATCAGATCACTTTGAGAAAATAGGATTAGGTAACAGCATGGTGTAAGGGAAATTTCAGTGCTTTTTACCTATAAAGAAAACCTGATCAAAGAAATGTTGAAATTCAAAATAAACCTACAAGGTCTTTCTGTTAAGGTATTTTCTCTTAATATACGGAAACTGCTTTCAGTCTTATCTATGAAGCTAAATGTATTCGTTTTCTCAGAGAGAATGTAATATGCCATAGTAGTCACAGGTATCTGTCTCTGCTTGCTGTGTCCCTAAAAAAGATAGTTGAAATCACCATGACAACCATCTTGGCCTCATGGATATCTTAAGGAAGGGGGGAAAATAGTTACAGAGACGGAGGGAGGCAAACCACAAAAGACTCTTAAATACAGAGAACAAACTGAGAGTGGATAGGGGTGGGGGGTGGGGGAGTGGGAAAATGGGTGGTGGGCATTGAGGAAGGCACTTGCTGGGAGGAGCACTGGGAGTTGTGTGTAAGCCAATTTGACAATAAATTATTAAAAAAAAAAAGAAGAAGATCCAACTTGCTCTTCAAGTGGGAATAAGTGATGACGATGAGGAAGACTGTTATCATTTTCATGTCCCTTTTATGGGCCTTTGCTGGAGTCCCTCAAGCCCATCAGGGTGAGCTGCAAATTCTTGGTGTCTCACCAAAAGTGGGAATAAAAGGAGCAAAGAGGTCAGAGACAGGAGAAAGTGATAACGTAGGTCAAGCTAGGAAGCCGAAGCCCTTTAAGACAGAACATTTTCCTTACGTCTCAATGCAAAGTCATGCTTCCTTCATGCACTCTGAAGGTATTCGTCCACAACCCACCGAGGGCATCCTGCAGTAAGGGGTTACCAGACTAAAAGAACAAACACTCCAGGGAAAGCACAAGACCCATTCTGTTCTCTCTCCACTTGAGCCAGATGAAAAAGAAGTGGGAGGACTTGGCTACCTTAAGGAAGCAGGAAATGTTTAGTCAGATGGCAAACCAGGCAGTTAAGAGATCACTTACTGCCCAAAGAATAGTGATCACTTTTGCTACTTTACCAGTGGCACGGGGATGTGGAGAAAGCCCCATCATAAGTGAATCAGTGGCCCACTGCTGAGTGATTCTGGTAGCTGGTAAGGGTAGCCAAGCTAGTGAGGATAAAGTCAGCTGGTCAGACTTTCCCGTTTGTGACCCATTCAGTGCAGTTTGTCTGTCCAATGAACCCATTTTCCGGGATTCCTAAGATGACATCTGCCACCATTATCAGAAAGGAGATCTGATTCCAACTGACATTTCCATGAGACGATTTCTGACGTGACACCTCACTGACAGCTTCTGGTTAAACAGCTGCAAGTTGACATCCACTTAGAGATATTTTCATCATTATTCCAGAAAAGACAGACAAAATTCTGCTATGTGATACAGTTTCAGAGACCTTCACAAAAAAAATAGTTCACTCTTCACAAAAGAATAGTTCACTCTATTGATACCGTAGTTCTGGTACTAAACCAAAGAGATCCAGGAAGAGATACAAAGTTTCATAAATATCCCCTCTTACTACTTACTAGTCAGCTACTATCTATATGCAGAATAAATGCTAATTAATGTCCACTTATCTTAGGCACTGGCTGAAAATGTCCATTTGTGCTAATGACTACATGCCAGGTATGAAGTCAGGTATGAAAACATGAGAGAGATCATTTTGCACTAATTTCTACTTTCATCTTCCTTGAGCCATTCATTCAAATGCAAATATTTTAGATTTTGAATAGAAATTTCTAGAAAGAATGTACATAATTCGGTTGTTATTTGCCACTCATTGAATAAGATCCTTCTACCAATTAAGTATGTTTGTTGATTCAATATCATTTATAGGAATGTCTTAACAAAACCATAGTTCAAAGATCACACCCACACTCTACAGCAAATAACTATAAATAATCTAAATCAGAAGTTATAAGCAACATGCATTGGGAATATACATGAGGAAGCTACAAATGCTACGGTACAGAATCAATTACGGGGTTAATAGGATAGGAACATTTGGTTGAACTTGAGCTCTTTAGGGTTTATGAAGAAATAGAAAAAAAGAAGAGATATTCAAGACTGATCTAAGGGCGTGTATAAATCATCAAACTGACATACACCAGTTATGCTGTGCTTCTATACGAGGAACCTGTTTGTTTTACAATAACTGGCTATTTCAGTTGAAATGGTACTAACGTCCCACAATATCCATGTCTTAAATCCCATTTCTCCTTCCTCCTGGGCTACAGAGAGACTGTATTTCCCAGCCTCCCTTATAGCCGGTTACGGCAACGTGACTGACATCTGAACAATGTCATAGAAGTGAAACTTACTCACACAGGAGTGCACCATGTACAGGCCATCCCAATATCTCCCCATGAACTGTTTTCCATACGCTGCTTTCATCCTGGCTGTCAGGAATGGGGATGATTCCGAGACCATCTTGGAAGCCACAGGGTAAAGATAGAATACTTTTGATCAATCCGATTCCCTGGATAACTGTATAGAGGAAGCTCCCCAAACACATCAGTACTGTGAAAAGAGCAATTTAAATCTGTGTTCTGTATGAGTCACTTTTGTGTTGGGAGCCTATTTGTGACAGCGCTTTGTCTACCCAGTCTAATACAGAAATCAGAACCGAGAGTTTACAGTTTCATTTAGACACATTTGAATAGTGAAAAAACAGAACCAAGAAATCCATGGAACCTGCAGATTTTTTTGTGGTGGTTTTTGTTTTCTTTCTTTTTAAAAATTTTTAAATGTTATTTATTGCTAAGAGACAGAGCATGAGCAGGGAAGGGTCAGAGAGAGAGGGAGACGCAGAATCTGAAGCAGGCTCCAGGCTCTGAGCTGTCAGCACAGAGCCCAACACAGGGCTCGAACCGATGAACCGTGAGATCGTGACCTGAGTGGAAGTCAGACGCTTAACTGACGGGGACACCCAGGTGCCCCTGGTGGTTTTTGTTTTCATTGGGTTTCCAGCCATCGTATAGCTTTATTCTTCCATTTCTTTAGTCATCGGTGTATTATTTGGAGCAACTATTCTATGGGTCTGCTTTATGTCCTGAGGAGTCAGCAGGAAACAACATAGACATGATCTTGGAGATCACTACATTGTTTATATTTTACTGGGGCAGACAGATTATTAAAAACAAATGAATAGATCAGATATGGAAGTAATTTGTTGTAGTTTTCATAATGTTAAAATTGCATAATACAAAAATTAATATGATGTGTAAATTCAGTTGCTGAACAAGGTTCCACATTTCTTGATTATAATAGAGTTTGTTATTAATAATAACCACACACTATTTCATCATTTTCCATAAGATTATAATAAAACAGATATTGAAGATATTCCCTATATTTATTATATACACATAATACATAGTATTTAATATATGCAGAAAAATCATTATGTTTCACAGTTTTTTTAAAGTTTATTTAGTTTTGAGAAAGAGAGAGAGAGAGCAGGGGAGGGGCAGAGAGAGACAGGGAGAGAGAGAGTCCCAAGGAGCCTCCACGCTGTCAGCGCAGAGCCTGATGCATGGATCGAATCATGAAATTATGAGATCATGACCTGAGCTGAAATCAAGAGTCAGATAGAAGCCTAACTGAACCACTCAGGCACCCCCATAATTTATTTTTATTATTCTTATAATGAACCTATTTTTAAGACAAGGAACATCTGAGTCTTGTTATTTGAAGCTGAAAAGAAACTTTTAGGTGGCAAGATGGAAAAAATAATTGGCGATTCAGAGAAGAAGGCTGAACAATTGGAAATCAGGTCTCATCTTACAAAAAGGTCCTCTTAATTCTCAAACTGTAAGAGATGACTTTCCTAACTGCATGTGGGAACATAGAAGCACTGAAAGCAAGTCATGATCATTTTTTTTCTTTCTCATCTTTATTGCAGAACTTGGTTTTTTCTGTTACTTAACTTGTATTAAGCTAATATTCTTTAGCATTGTTTATTGAACACATATGTAAACATTTATTCTAAATATGTGTCACTCTTGAATTTTATTGCATGCATCTTTTTCTAGTAACAGCTATGATGGTTCTCTATTAACCATGAAGAATCTATAAGGAATAATACCTACCCCAAACATTCACCCTCAATCTATAATTTACAATCAAATATCATTACCATCTAAAAGACTGAAGATCGAAACAATAAAATCTAAACACACTGTAGTTCACATGCATAGATCTAATTACAATGGAAAATAGCAATTATTTCCTGAGATTAAGTTGTCAATTCTTAAAAAGTCATAAATATAGATCACAAATTCTTCAGCCAGGAGATAATAACATAGGATATGTAAATGAAATACACATTGCTTCATAATCTTGAGAAATTTCTTACAGTATTTTGTATAATCAGATTGCTTGCCTGAAAAAAATTGGTTAATGGAATGATAGTCATAATCTTTCTTATATTTTTCACAAACATATATGCACATACTTTTGTGATATGCTTAAGTAAAAGGCTTTCTAGGTAAACCTCTGGAAATTACTCGATTATATACTCATTTAAAAAAGAGGTAAGAAGTATACTTTTTTAATGTTTATTTAGTTTGAGAGAGATAGAGAGAGACAGAGCGTGAGGAGGGGAGGGGCAGAGAGAGAGGGAGACACAGAATCCGAAGCAGGCTCCAGACTCTGAGCCATCAGCACAGAGCCCAATGCAGGACCTGAAGCCATGAACTGTGAGATCACGACCTGAGCCAAAGTCAGACACCTAATCAACTGAGCCACCCAGGTGCCCCCAAAAGAGGTAAGAAGTATAAAATCTTATGGACTCCATCAACTTGTTTTCTCCTAGAAGACACACGATGCTCTTCTTACTTTCTTTCTTTTAGCCGGCACTTCAGCTGCCACAGAAATGACAGAAAGGCCTGTTTGAGCTTCTTGCTTCCCCAAATCAACACCAATGAGTGGATTGAAGGATATGTGATTCCAATAGCTTCACAAAGGAAGAAGCCAAACTTGTTCTGCAGCCAAGTAGAACTCCAAGCTGTGATCATCAGAGTGAGGAAGTAACCAGCAAATAGCAAGAGAAAGAAGATCACGGTCTGCATGGCTCTTACATGGACTTTGGTGCTGGAATCTTGGGCTCCCTTACCAGAGGGCTGCATCCTCTTGAGATGTTTCCAGAGGGAAAAGATTAACAGCACAAAAGACATCAGCGATAACATGAAGGGAATAAAGTTGGCTAGCGTGAATACAGTCATATTGGAGAGGTATGCCGTGTCCATCCACTTGGTCTTCCCAGTGACATTTCTTTCATGTACCTTCGTCCACCCTTTGTCATATATGCTCACCATCACAACATGAAAGACCAAAAAGAACAAAGACCCCAACAAAATCACAAGCACTACGCTTTTAACCCTCCACTTCAGGCGAAGAAAAATGAGGCTAGAGAAATTGGCTATTTTGAACAAATAAAAGATGCTGAGGCTAGTAGCAAGCCAGATGCTAAAATGATTGCTGGAGGTCCAGGCAATTTGAAAAATAATTCTGACTTCTAAGCCGTATAAATCTGGATCCAACAAAGTTGCATACCAATTTATAAGTGTTGCCCAGAGCAAACCAATTCTGGAGACAGCCAGAGCAGTGAGAATTAGATCAACTAAGGAGATCTTTTGTCTCTTGATCCAGTCAATGCAGTTCACCAGGGCTATGAAGCCATTAGCAAAATTTCCGAGAAGAAATTCTATTGTTAATAAGATGGAAAACATGCTAGGTAGTGAGCTTACCATGTCTAGAAATAAAAACAAACAAAAAAATCTAATTCTAATGCCTAATGTCACTGATTGTGCACCTGATCTCTAAGTGTGCAGTAAGGTTCTCGTTTCTTTTAAATTCTGTGACCGATGTCAAGCAGAAAAGCAGCAGAGAATGCTAACAGGTGAAGTCAGTGCTGTCCTGATGAAAGCCATTGTTATTCCCAAATGGCAAACGGGACTCCCACTCCTACACTATGTGTCCTTGCCAGGGGCTGGGTTATTTCACACCTGGTGTTGAGGTGAATGCTGGGTTCACATTTGTTAACATGCAAATAAGGACGTATTATTTGCAAATTTTTCCTTGTTTAACCTTTCCATAATTTGTGTTCAACAACTGTTGTTGTTAGATAGTAAAATTTAAAAGTCCAATCTGTAGAACAACCAGTGAATGTCTGCAAGCTATTTCAGAGAGCCGGGGCACAGCTAGGGTCTACACTGGTGTAGACTTATTCTTACTCTTTGAATGCCAGGTTTACGTAGGAAGAATTCAAGCTTCTCCTATTAAAAGCATCCAGAAAGGACAATTCTCTCCAAAAGCTTGTTGCTGATAACTAATACTTACACGTAAGTTTGTTTATTTAGAAGCTCATAGACACACACACATGCACATGCATCTCCTGGGCGGAATTACTGTTCTATAATTTCCAAAATGTAAAATCAATGTCCAGAGATCATCCTGGTTCAAATCCCCCCTTGTAAGCTTTTTCAGCCCCTATTTAATAGCTAACAAGTATATCTTTCATGGACTTTGATGAAGTTTCTCTTTTGAGTCTATTTAATATTTATTAATATTTAGTTAAAACATTCAAAGATTTTGTAAGCAGTTTTGGGCATTTCAAGAGAACACATGTTTTCCATCACAAATGCCAGATTCTTTCCATATACGAATAGTCAGTTTTATTTTCTCTGTTTAATTCATCTGTCATAACTTCTTTTTTTTAATTTTAAAAATCTTTTTTTATTTATTTCTGAGAGAGAGAGAGAGAGAACGCGAGCAGGGGAGGGTCAGAGAAAGAGGGGGACACAGAATCTGAAGCAGACTCCAGGCTCTGAACTAGCTGTCAGCACAGAGCCCGATGCGGAGCTCGAACCCACGAACTGTGAGATCATGACCTGAGCCCAAGTCGGATGCTTAACCGACTGAGCCACCCAGGCGCCCCAACTTCTTCTTTCTTTCTTTTTTTTTTTTTTTTTAAAGATTAATCAATGTTAAAATCAACCTCTAACCTGGATCTCACTTTCAGCTTTTTAAATAATTGTTTTTAGCAGAAGATCTGGAATCGGACTGCCGGTACAAGAAACCCACATTGTCTGCTTCGTATATCTCTGATCCTGGACGCTTCTTGAAAACCACTTTCTGCCTCAATGTGACCATCAGTAAGATGTGGACAGTAATGATCGCCTCTCCCGGCAGTCTTTGTGAGGAGTGTGTCTACCATCTGTCATCCTGCCTATCTGGTAAAGAAAAGGCAAAGAAGATTGTCACTTAGTCCTTGATCCTGTGTTATTTGATACTTTAAAGCTAACTTGTGATGACTTCCATTTAGAAGTGGCATGTAGCAGATTGGGAAAGGCAAGATGTCCTCCTATAACAAGCAGTGTAAGGAGAATAAATTGCCAAAATTATATTTTAAATTCATCCTAAGTCTGTGCAAGAAGAGAGGACCACTCGAACTAAGACCTGGAATGCAGAGAGTCAGGAGAAGACATGATCAATCCCTCCCACATCCCCCAGCAGACTCTATTCCCAGAAAGTGAAAAACTATGTCTAAAATCTATATGGAAATGCAAAGAGTCCAGAATAGCTGAAAGGATTTTTTTTAATGTTTTGTTTATTTTTGAGAGAGACAAAGACAGGGTATGAGCAGGGGAAGGCAGAGAGAGAAAAGAGAGGGAGACACAGAATCTGAAACAGGCTCCAGGCTCCAAGCTATCAGCACAGAGCCCAAGGTGGGGCTCGAACTCATAAACCAAGAGCTCATGACCTGAGCCAAAGCAGGACGCTTGACCCACTGAGCCCACAGGTGCTCCATAGCCAACAGGATTTTTTAAAAAAGAACAAATCTGGAGGATTTCAGTTCCTGGTATCGAAGCTTGCTACCAGCCTGTATTAATCAAGACTGTAATAATCACACGCAAATAGACATACATATTAATGAAACACAAACGAGAGTCCAGACTAATGTTGACATTCATGTTCAATGTGTTACCAAGTCCAAGTTCGGGTGCCTATCATCGCTTGGAGGGCCATTACTCAGGAGGAGAGGTTTTGACTGGAAAGGAACATGGGGTTTATTCAAGAGGTCAGCAACCCGGGGAGAAGGCGGACTCTTGTCCAAAAGCCAAGTCGGAGGTTTCCTACCTGGCCCAGGGGTTTTTCAAGGGGTTTAGGGTAGTTAATCTGCCAAAGGAGTGCAGTGGTTTGCAACATTTCTTGATTACGTGCAGCCTTGGTGATGCCAGCTACAAATTGTTATTTCAGTGCTCAGGGCTTGTGCAAGGGGGTCTGGCTCCTGTATCTTGATGTGCAGGAGTACTCTGTTCTTGCCTCAAAGGAGGGCAAGGTCTATAGATACACAAAGGGAGGTCAGTGAGATCGTTAGTGTGACCCAAAAGAAGAAAAGCATTTTGCTAAAAACTTGCTAGCCTAGTCAGAAAGTTGAGGCAGCTTTTAACAGACTGGCCGGCTGCTGTGGCCTCGGAAAGTTCAGGTCCTTCACTCCTCAAGGCCAGTGGCCTGCAAATCTCAAAAAAAGCAAATTAGTTCTTTTTTAAAAAAATTTTAAGGGGCGCCTGGGTGGCTTAGTCGGTTAAGCGTCCGACTTTCGCTTAGGTCATGATCTCACGGTTCGTGGGTTCGAGCCCCGCGTCGGGCTCTGTGCTGACTGCCAGCTCAGAGCCTGGAGCCTGTTTCAGTCTGTGACTCCCTCTCTCTCTGACCCTCCGCTGCTCACGCTGTCTCTCTCTCTCTCTCCTAGAAATAAATAAAAATATTTAAAAAAAAATTTTTTTAACATTTTTAAAAATTTATTTTTGACAGAGAGAGACAGAGCATGAGCAGAGGAGGGGCAGAGAGAGAGAGGGAGACACAGAATCCAAAGCAGGCTCCAGGCTCTGAGCTGTCAGCACAGAGTCTGACTCTGAGGCTCAAACCTACAAGCCTTGAGATCCTGACGCGAGCAGAATTCAGAAGATTTAACACTTATAACAATGTAACACTTTTGAACTCCCAGGAATGGGAAAAAAAAAAAAAAAAGGAACCTCTACTAAAGTATGCTCATACCTTTTTTTAAAAAAATGAAAACCTTTTCAACAAAAACTACTAGTTCAGGAGCATTTTATTTTACATTCATTTATTTATTTTGAGAGAAAAAGCATACATGCACATGCAAGCAGGGGAGGGGCAGAGAGAGGGAGAGAGAGAATCCCAAGCAGGCTCTGTGCTGTCAGTTCAGAGCCTTTCACGAGGGTCAGGCCCATGATCTGTCAGGCCATGACCTGAACCATGATCAAGAGTCTGTCGTGTAGCCAAATGAGCCACCCAGGTGCCCCCAGGAACATTTTTCTACAAGAAATCAGATTTATATAATCCAAATGATTATTTCAACAGATCAGACTGGCTGAATACTTTTGATTTGAAGACAGGCATTTGTTTTTTTTACCTGACTTTGTCAGTGTGGGGTATGTTTCAGTTTTTATAAAGATTTGGGGTTGTCACTCTCAATTTCTAAAATTCTTATACTTGAGAATAAGTATACCTATACTTGAGATAAGCTACTGTTATGTCCACATGTTAAAATACACACAAAAACTAAAAGTACATGTTCAAATAAATTGAGCAGAAATTATGAAATGTTTTGTGTTTCAACAGAAATTATTTTCTGTGGTATATCAGCTTAAAAAATCTTCCAAGATCCTTAGTTAAATTTGAGACTAATATTAAATTGGGTGATAATTGAAAATCTTTGGATTGTTTCTAGGTAAGGTGGAATCCTGAAATGTGGTTACCTAGCCTAGTTGTTATATATGTATACATATTCTTATACACATATATTCTTTAACATATATATTCATATATATTCATTTAATGCATTTATATTTGATCCAGTATATAGAAAATATCTGTGGAAGTGTTGCTCTATCAGAGCTATTTGGCCACTATTCTAAGTAGATACATTTTTACTATTCAGGATTTCCTCTTTTGTTCCCATTATTTCATGTAAAGGTAGATTGGTGATCACTAGTTTTACAGTTTGGTCAGTATATTATAAATTATGGAGAAGAATCATGATGGAAATAATGGAAGAATTGGCATTGTCCAGAGATCAGGGACTGGGATCCGGATGAAATATGAAAAGGAGCACACTTGGGGTCTACAAGTTTGGTGGTCGGAAATATAACGAAACGCTTTGACACGGCTCACATAAACAGGTGGAGGCTAACTCCCCTACCGTTCAATGTGGTTTGTTTCAGTAAATAGCATGTCGTAGAACGGACACTGGCTGACTTCCCAGACAAGGGAAGGTTTTAAAAAGCCAGTCATCGTGAGGCATCTGCCTTTGAAGTCTTGAGACACAATACGGGAGGTCCCATGTGGAAAAAAAACAAAAACAAAGAGAAGCAGAATTGAGATGCCTGACCATTTCACGTCCTCAGCTGTCTGAGCCTTCGAAGCGTATGCACCTGTATCAGGCCATCACGATGGCTCCAGCCACTGTCTGCAACCTCATTAGAGACTCAGATCCAGAACAATGCAGCTGAGTCACTCCTGAATTCCCGACTCTTAGTAACCAAAGAGATGATAGTGATTATTGCTCATTTTAAGCTACTAATTCTCCCGTGATCTGCAACAAAAAATAGGCACTTAATATAGTGAGGAATGGTTTCTTTTGTTAGGTGGGAGCAGGGATTTTTTTGGGCGATTGTCAGCGTGGGATGTGGGGTAAATAATGAAAGTCCAAGAGCTGAGGAAG